AAACAATTTACTTCTAATGTTGTTTGTCTAGTGTTTGTATTTTCGTATTTATTCTAGGCAAACAACGAGTTAGAGGATGGATGGAATAGAGCTTCAACGATCATATCCAATAGAGGTTGGTGGTATAGTGGAGTGAAGCAATGTACATTCAAGTTAAAGATACAAGTTCAAGCTTCATCCGTAAGTGTACCAAGTTGAGCTCATTGAAGACCTTCATCAAGCTTGGGTAATTAGTTTAGGATTTATATTATGTGTGTTAAGTATGTTAAGCTCAATCATATACACACATACACGTTTTGGTTTTGTATATATATAGTTATATATATACATATATGTTTTGGTTTGATAGTTTTCAAGTTTTAATATGAAACAATTTAATATAATTAGAAAACATATTTTTGTTTCATACTTATATGCATATATATGATTTCATCAATATCAATTTTATTTAGTTCAATGAAATCATGTTTTAGTGCATTATATGTGTATTTTGATAAAATACTACATTCATTATTTATAGACTTCTTAACGTTTACATCTTTCTTCAAGTCTATAAAATTATTTTGTAAAGTTTCAAAACATGGTTTAGCCAAAATGTCTCTTTCTTCAAGTCTATAAAATTATTTTGTAAAGTTTCAAAACATGGTTTAGCCAAAATGTCAAAATTCAATGTTTACATTTTCATGTTTTGGATTATTTTGCAAAATTATGATATTTCTCATTTGGGAAGTCCTTTTAGAAAACTAGTTTTTGTAACATGTGTATTATCATGTCTATAATCATTTTCCAAAGTTTCATAATTTTTAGAATTTATTTGATATTTTTATACAGTGTTTTAAAAGTCAGCAAACTGTTTTCAAACCTGAAATTTCATATATCAGTTCACGGTCGACCGCCACGATCGACCGCACCCATGTTTTTTTCTGAGAAGTCAGCAGAAACTTTCACGGTCGACCGTGGCGGTCGACCGTCAGTCTGTAAGTTCTCACGGTCGACCGCCGTGATCGACCGTAGCATGTTCTGTTTGTTTTCTCAGTTTCAATGACCTTCGCGGTCGACCGCGATTTTTCCACGGTCGACCGCCGATCGCCCAACGGTCATATTTGGTACAGAATCATATTTCTGATTCGTTGGGGGTTTTTGGTCTTTTATTTGGGGTTTTTGGCTGAGGTTTTGGGAGGCTATAAATACCCCATTGATCTCAATTCTCACATCCATCCAAGAAATATTTTAAACAAGTTTTAAAAGAGTTTAAGTTTGTTTAGTTTGTTTTTGGAGTTTGCTGTTACAAAGAGGAGTTTGCATCATCTGTTGAGGAGTTCATCTTCAACATCTTCTCATCCTCTCTTTGTGTTTATAGAGAAGTTTTCTAACTCTTTTCTCTAGGAATATTATTATTGATTTTCATATTCTTATTATTGCTAGTTTGTTATTTGAGTTAGATTTGATTTTACTCATTGTTTACACACACACCCACTTGAGCTTATTGTATTTTCATCCATAGTATATTTTGGGTTGGTGAGAGTTGTAATGATTGAGTGTGAGCTTTTATTGTGTTCTCATCCATATTAGAGAACAATCATTCTTTGTATTATGCTTAATCGTGAGATCACTTTGTAATACACTTGTACACCGAGAGGAGTGTGTGGTGAGAGTCGGGGATCGTCCCAAGAGGAGTGTGGTCGGTTGACGAACCTAGGGAGAGGTTGTAACCGAGCACTTGAGGGAGACATAGCTAGGTCCAACACTTATGAGGGTGTAAAGTAGGTTTGCAAGAGTGTGAGTTGTAGAGTTTTTGGTTAGCTAGAAAACCGAGTGTGTAGCAGTTTCGGCTTCCAAACCGGGTCGTGATAGTGGATTTCTCCCCGGGAGTGGGGAGCGGAGACGTAGGACGGAAGGTCCGAACTCCGTGATCATTTGATTGTGTTTGAGTATGCTTTGGCGTTTATTCTTATTTGTGCGCATTGCTCATTTCCCCATTGTCTCATTATTTATATCATCCACTATCTTGTTTCATTTTGTTTTCCCTTGTGTTAGTTTCATATCCTTACATATATATCTCATAGTATATCTCATTGTTAGGATATATCTCATTGTTCATATTGCTTATCCTAGCTCATATATCTTGTTGTATTTCATACTTACTAGGATAACTTATTAATTAGTTTTAATTGGCATAAAATAGGATTAGATTAGCATAAGACCCTAATCACCCCCGCTCTAGGGTCTAACAATATGTTCCCAGTCTTTAAACCTTACAAAGTACGAGTCAAGCTTGAATCTGGAAAGAAGATCAAGTGATTGAGGTTAGATAATGGAGGAGAATACGCAGACGGTAAATTTCTTGCACTCTACAAACACGAATGCATCAAAAGACAATTCAGTACTACATATACATCTCAATAAAATGGAGTCGCGGAGTGGATGAATAGAACTCTGTTGGAAAGAACAAGATCAATGTTGGCAACTGCAGATCTAGATAGAATTTTTTAGACAGAAGCAGTAAAATCATAAAAATAGCCTATTATGTGGTGAATCGATCTCCATTAATCATAATAAAGTTAAAGACACCAATGACGATGTGGACTGGTAAGCCAGTTGATTATTTAAACCTCCATATATTTAGAAGTTCAATGTGCGTAATGTACAATGCTCAAAAAATTACAAAGCTGGATTTAAAATCCGGGAAATGCATATTCTTGGGGTATATTGATGGAATAAATATTATCGCTTGTGGGATCCTACTGCCCGCAAGGTTATTGTTAGCAGAGATGTTATCTTTGTAGAGAACCAACTACAAAGAGATGTTATTGTCAGCAGATATATGGTCTAAAGCAAGCGCTGATGTGTTGGTACAAGAGATTTGATTCATTCATCATAAACCTTGGATACTACAAACTTAATTCAATCCTTATGCATATTTCAAGAGTTTGGTGAAAATAACGTTGTTATCTTATTGTTGTATGTTGACGACATGTTAGTTGCAGGATCTAACAAATATCTTATCAAAGAATTGAAGGCACAATTGGGTAGGAAATGTGAAATAAAGAATTTAGGATATGCAAACAAGATTTTAGGGATGCAAATTTACTGAGACATAATTAACAGGAAAATTTAGATTTCTCAGAAGAATTATTTAAAGAAAATCTTATAGCGCTTCAATACGAAAGATTGTTAGTCAATTTCTACCTCCACTTACTTCCTGTTATTTTTAAGTTATCATGCAGTATGAGTCCTAGTAGTGAAGAAGAGGTGATGAAGATGTCTCGAGTATCGTATGCATCAGCATTGGGAAGTTTAATGTTCGTTATGCTTTGTACAAGACTAGACATTGCACAAGTAGTAGGAGTAGTTAGTCGATACATGGCGAATCCTTATAAAGAGCATTGGAATGCTATAAAGAGGATCCTATAATACATGAAGGGGACATAAGATGTTGCATTATGTTATGGGGGATTAAATTTTATTGTCAATAGATATGTTGTTTCTGATTATGCAAGTAATCGTGATAATAGCAAATCCATCACAGGCTATGCGTTTGCACTTGCTGGCTGAGCTGTAAGCTGAGTTTCAAAACTGTAGTCAGTTGTGGCTATATTAATAACAAAAGCAGAATATGTAGCAGCTACACAAGCTGGTAAAGAGGCAATATGGTTAAGAATGATACTGGAGGAACTCGAACATGAATAAAAGAAGATTTTTTTATTTTGTGACAGTCAGAGTGCTTTACATTTGGTAAGAAATCTTTTCATTCAAAGACAAAACATATTCGAGTTCAGTACTACTTTGCTCGTGACAAAATGAAAGAAAGGACAATGAATATGTAGAAAATTCACACCAAATATAACCTAGCAGATTTTTTGACAAAGGCGGTTAGCACTAACAAGTTTGTTTGGTGTCGATTCTCTTGTGGTCTGATAAAGATGTAAACAACGTAAAAATGGTAACATAGAAATAATGATGTGAAAATATGATTGATTTTTAATCATATCTTCAAATGGGAGATTAATAGAAAGTAATAGTCACCATGTCGGTAGTAACCATCTACTTGCTATAGTAATTACCAACCACAGACCCACCAACAATTACTGTAATAATATTGTAGCAACAATACACTCCTACCACAAAATCACCTATATATAGCTCCCCCTAGCCATAAGTTGATATCATCCCACTAGCAAGCAGGGAGAGAGAGAGAGAGAGAAAGAGAGAGAGAGAGAGAGAGAGGAAAAAGAGAAAGTTTCTTCTTATAAAAACAGATTGCAACTCTTAAAAAATTTTCAACGTAAATTCTTCTATTATTGTCTGTGGTTTTTACCTCAAATTCATAAAGAAGATTTTTCATATAAAAATCTGTGTGTTTAATTTTATTATTTCCGTATTAATATTCGCTGCCACCCTGCCCTGTTTGACCCCGATCTTTCCCAACAATTCAGCACAGCGTTCAATTAATCATCCATGACCTCGATGAAGGAAAATATCTATATATTAGTTAGATAAACTTAGATTACTATATATTTTGCTTTTAAGCATGTGAAAGTAACTCGGATCCCATTAGAAAAATGTCCTTCTAAAGTCTCTTATCATGTGAAAGTAACCAAGTTCTAAAATATGGTTTAATAACATGTCGTGAGTATCGTAATCTTATGGCATGCTCTTACGCCACCGCCGCGCTCGGGACGATGACGCTGTCGTCGCGGAACCGCAATAGCTAAATAGCGCCATGTTCTCCTTTTGCAGCCGAATGCGGTACGTGTCAAATTCTTGCACTGGTATCGGACATGTGTCCAAATGTTAGGTGCCACCTTTTCAATCTACTGCTCTACGGACTTTAACTAGACCATTATATTAATCTTTAATTTAAAGCAAGCAGAAGTACTCGATGCGTGCATCTTGGAGAGGTGGAGCTCCTTTGCATGTATAAATTAGGCATTCATACATACCTCTTCTTGCACAGATTCTCTCGTGTTGCGCTTCATCCGAAATAGCTATAAGTTCAATTAGTTGTTTGAAGAGCAAACTAATTAACAAAAATGGGTTGCTGGTCACCTCTGAATGCGATGAAGGCCTATGTTCATACTCTTCAACTGGTATGCATGCCCTTCTATACATATAGAGTTGCACGTAGCTAGGCTCGGTATTTATTAGTTAATTTTTTGTTTTTTTAATTATAGTTTAATACTTTTCATTCCCTGATTTTATAATTCGATCCCCACTTTGATCTCATCCAGTGCAAGGACTATAGCGATGATCAAACCGACTCCAACGCCAACGCCGGCACTAGTAAGCTCATCGAACCCGAGTGCGTGGAGTTCATATCAGCCCTCGCCGCAGGCAACCAATCTCGACTCATGATCGACGTCACCTCCGACGGCGTATCTCCTTCTACGCTAGCCCTCGCCATAGCTGCCCGACACACCAACGGCCGTCTCATCTGCGTCTGCCCCGATCGGCCATCCCTCGCCCAAGCCAAGTCCCAGCTTCAAGGTTTCGGGCTCCAAGATGCAGTTGATTTCCAGATCGGGGATCCTTGCTGTGTGATCAAGCAATACAAGAACGTGGATTTCGCTGCTGTCGATCATAGGATCGATAATTGCGACGAGGTGCTGTTTTCTCTGGACATGAATCCTGACGGGTCTATTGTGGTGTTGAGCAATTTGTTCAGAGGTGGTAGTAGTAGTAGTAAGAGGAGGGTTGGAGCTCCTAATTATGTGCATATGAAGAAGGGTAGCTATAGAGGCCGAGGGATCGAGAGCGCAGTTCTGCCTGTAGGTGGCGGGATGGAGGTTAATAGATTTGGGAGAGCTTGCAGATCATCGAGACAAAAGCGATCAAAGAGGACCTTTTTGGTCTATGAGGAATGAATGATCAGATGGAATTAATATCAAAAAATTCAAAGCCCTCTTCACACCCGATGATCAACCAACAAGAAAAGCAAGTTCTGATGGGCTTTCAGTGATCATATTGAGGTGAATTTAAGCCTTTTGTTTGTTTTTCCTGATTATGTAGCGTACGTGCAAGACATATATTGTGGCTCCCTGCTGTTACATACGTACTACTGTACTGTCGTCTTAAAATTGGATAAGGTAACAGGATGTATTTGATATTGTAACCGAATGCTTCCCTGCCAAAAAAAGATTATGTACATAAAAATGCATGTGTTCTTGAAATTTATTTCAATATTGTTCCGAGATCAAGTTGCTAAATGTCTGGCTACATTTCTATTTGATTCCTAAAGATTGGGGGTTTGAAAGATGTCATATTGAATTATTTATGGAAGCTGGCAAGTAGTATTTACTCGAGCCAAAAAAGTCCCAAGGCGTTTACTCACATTATTAGTCCCTCAAACCATCAATGATTTCAAGTTGTTCTTCGATATTTAGTGCCTCAGATCATCAGTAATTTCACATAATTAGTCCGTCAGTTCTCAATAGGAGATTGCTCGTTAATTTCACATATATGTTTCCTTGAAACACACGTTTTTTTGGAGGAAAAGGACTACATTTTTTTTTAATTTGATATATTTTTAATCCCAATCCTACGATCAATTATCAAAAACAAACTAGCGAAACCAAGAAATAATGTTTAATAAGGCAGTCCCACTCCTTGCGAGTAAATACATTATTCCGTGAGTAAAGCATGGTAGTAGCCGGCGAAGTAAAGTAGCAGAGCATCAAACGAACTAGATCTCTCTTGAAATATATAGGACAAATTTTTTAAAACAACTGTTTTTAAAATTTAATAAGTAAAACCGACCGTTTCAATATTTTTTTAGCAAAATCGACCCCCTCCTCTCCGCCTTCAGCTCCTCGCCCCGCCACGTCGCCTCCTCCTCTCAAAAAAAACCCGATATCCAACTCCTCCAACCCAATCACCGATGCCCACCATCTCCTTCGCTGGCGCCAGCGGCCTGAACAGTCGCCTCCTCCTCTCAAAAAAAACCCGATATCCAACTCCTCCAACCCAATCACCGATGTCCACCATCTCCTTCGCTGGCGCCAGCGGCCTGAACAGCGGAGACGAAGGAGTCGGCGGGGGGCTTGGTTGAAGAAGGCCTGCGAGGGGGGAAGGGGTTGACGATGACGAGGTCGAAGCTCAGCGGGTGGAGGTGGGGATCGGGGGGCTGAAAGCGGAGAGGAGGAGGTGAGGGCAAGGAGCTGAAGGCGGAGAGGAGGGAGCGGAGCGAGGAGGGGGACGAGGACGTCGTCGCCGAGGTCGATGGTGGAGACGAGGTCGCGGAAGGGGGGCGACGTGGCGGGAGATCCAGGAGGAGAGGGAGGAATGGGAGGAGCTGAGGGCGAGGAGCTGAAGGCGGAGAGGAGGGGGGTCGATTTTGCTAAAAAAATTTTGAAGCTGTCGGTTTTACTTACTAAAATTTAAAAACAGTTGTTTTAAAAAATTTGTCCAAATATATAATTAATATTGAGTTAAAAGAACCGGGAATGTCAGTTAGCCCTTATAAGACTTAAGCAGCGGTTCCCAATCAGAAGAAGCCGGACCGGAATGTGACGGCACGACCCGTTAACGGAGCATGTCAAGAGCATGTAGAAGCTTCACACACCCCTCGTGTTGTGCGATTGATGTTCCTCCTGAATCTGCATGATCCATTAGCAATCCTAATGTCCGACGGCCCAAACTACTACGTACGCCTGAAATATCTTATACGGAGCATGCTCAGCTACTCTACTTATTTTTTGTTACTTTATAAGTTCCTTGTTACTGATAAGGATGTTAAAAAATAAGTTCCTCGTTACCTTATAAGTTCCTTAGAAGTTTCCTGTTACCTTAATAGGTTCCTTAATTTCGAAACACATTATAAGGATGTTAAGAAATAAGTAAACTGTGTTAAAACCATTTAACTTATAAGGATATGTGCATATAGTTTTTTGTTTGGTAAACCGTTAACTTATACGGTTGTGATAGTTATAAAATGACCAAAAAGGACATCTTGTTAAATATCATATTTGACTAATTATTACTTATATATTAATGAAATAACATTTCATTAATGAATTTTTTAATTAATACACTAAGTAATTTATAAAAAAATAATTATGATTATTATTTACTAATATGAGCACTAATTAATTAATTTATATAAATACAAAACTATTACTAGAAAGTTATTAGTTAACTAATTAAAAATTCATTATTTCATAATACAAAACATATTTAAATAAAATATTTTTATATATTACACTAATTTTGGTTAGTAATTACTAATACTAACATCAATTAGTTAATTTGATAAAATATCAAATTAGAAATTATCAATATTTTTATTTATTAATTAAATAGCTTCTTAATGGGAATAATTTCTTATAATTAAATATATATTATTAATTAAATAATACTTATTAATTAATTAATTAATTAATTCATAATAATAATTATTTTATGTTGAAAAATAAGAAAACAAAAGTATTTAATTAAATAAAAATTATTAATTTACTAATTTATTTATTTACTAATAAATTAATAAATAAATTATTTATTCTAAAAATAAAATAATTAATTAAGTAATAATTATTAATAAATTTATATATTAGTTAACTAAATAATTAAATAATAATATTTTTTTATTCTTGAAAATAAAATAAATAATAATTATTAATAAATTTATTTTTAAATTAACTAACAATTAATAATAATACTTACTTATTATTAAAAAAAGATAACTAATTAATTCAGTTGTAATTATGAGTAAGTTATTTACTAATTAACTAATTAATTATAATAATAATTATTATTTTATAATAAGAAAATATTTATTTAAAATATGTTTTATGTATCACAATATTTATGGTTATTAATAACTAATATTACTAAAGTGGAGTGAAGGATATCATGGTCTTTTGGCATAAATAAGTAAAACTACTTATAAGTAGCCAAAAAATAAGTTGGGATTTCCCAACTTCTTTTTGGCTACTTATAAGTCATAAGAAAGTAGATAAGTGAACCCTCACCAAACGTGATCTAGTTAGCTTATAAGTAAAAAAAAAACTTACGAGTAAAATAAGTGACTTATAAGTATGTTGTCAAACATGCTCTATAGTTTGGTTAAATCCCTCCTCCATCACGAAGCAACATTTTCCCATCATTTTATCAATCCCAGCCACCTCTCTCAGTACTGTCAGCTCCAAGTGCATCACATTATATCCAGACATGGTCTTTCCATTTGCGTAGCTCGATGGCACCGTACGTGTGATTTTAATAGTTGTTATGCATCCTTCACCACCTTTTGTAGCTTTGCCCCTATTATCCTTACTAGACTGATACTCTGAAATCCGTCTTTTCTCCCTACTAACTTGAATTTGGGAGTAGCTTGTGGAATCTGATAACCTGCAATATATCACCAACTATGTATCTGTACAACCCTACGCACGTGGTAATGACTACCTCATACTCCTTCCCCACCTCTACATTTGCCAGATTGACGGGATCCAAAGACTGATCAATAATATTGTTCTCGACAGGTTGGAACTCGAAGTAGGCCATGTTGGGGGAGTAGGGTGTATAAGATCTGTGATGGATCACATAGTGGCTGTAGGTTAACACCAAGGTTGGATTCTGTTGGGGATTCGAAATAATCAAATCAAATCCTTGCTCTTCCGGACCTTGTGTTTGAGAGTTGAGCAAGAAAGAAATTCACCACAAATCAAAGATAAAAACTTGTAGGAAAGTAAACAAGAAAGAACACACCAGATTTAACGAGGTTCGGCAACGTGCCTACGTCCTCGGGAGCCACACCACACAATTCTTTGATTACTTGAAGAAGATTACAATGCTTGCAATTGGCCTCTTTCTCTCTAAGATTTCTAATATCAAAGAGCCCTCAAAACCCTCTTTTTTTTCGTGCTCTTTTTCTCTCTTAAACCCTAAAGGGACGTGTTTCTATTTATAACAAAATACAGTATCAAACAGATTAGGATTCTAAAACGAGTCTGCCACACCCTGGTGTGGCGCAGACCACACCCATGGCAGATAGGACAGACTCTGCCACACCCTGGTGTGGTGCAGACCACACCCATGGCAGACGGGGCAGATTCTGTCACACCCTGGTGTGGTGCAGACCACACCCATGATCTCTTGAATTTTCATGCGATTGTTGATTTTGATTCTAGGTTTGGGTCTCCACTTTCAAGACCAACAATCTCCCACTTGGAGATCAAACCACCATCAATGAGCTCTCCCGAACTCCGCCTTCTCGCAAGCATATTCTCCTACTTGAAAAATCCATTCTTCAATCATTAACATCCCGGCGATCTCGCTGATCCTCGTAGTGTGGCTCCACCTTCGTCTTTTACTCGTGAAGGCCAACTGAATTTACGCACAACTCCAGTTTCTCAATGGTGACTGCCTTCGTCAACATGTCTGCCGGATTTTGACTCCCCAAAATCTTTATCAAATGTAACTTTCCGTCTTCAACTAGCGAGCGTATAAAATGGTATTTGACGTCGATGTGCTTTGTTCTGGCATGATATACTGGATTCTTAGCAAGATGTATAGCGCTCTGGCTATCACAATAAAGAACTCCTCTCCCTTGCTTCAGATCCAACTCTTCCAAGCACCCGTTCAACCAGATCATCTCCTTGCTTGCTTCAGTCACCGCGACATACTCAGCCTCGGTTGTAGACAAAGTCACAATCTTCTGCAGACGTGAGACCCAGCTCACTGCTGTCGACGCTAAGGTATAAACATACCCCGTGGTGCTTCGTCTCGTATCATGATCACCGACGAAGTCCGCATCCACGTATCCCTGCAGCACCAACTCCTTCCTCCTGAAATATAATGGCCTGTTCATTGTCCCTCTCAAGTACCGTATTATCCACTTCACGGTCTCCCAATGCTGCTTCCCTGGATTGCTTGCAAATCTGCTCACAACTCCCACTGCATGGGCGATGTCCGGCCTCGTGCAAACCATCACGTACATGAGACTCCCAATGGCCGAAGAATATGGCACCCTGCTCATATACTCTCTATCTGCATCTGTCTTAGGTGATTGCTCCTCAGATAGCTTGAACTGACTTCCAAGGGGTGTGCTAACAACTTTAGCATTATGCATGTTAAACTTCTGAAGTACCTTCTTAATTTATTCAGCTTGGCTCAATCTTAATGTCCCTTTAGCTTCATCCCTACTGATTCGCATCCCT